AAATGTTTGTACATATGGAGATATATTTTTAACTTAAAAATTGTTTTAAATAGGCAGTATGAACATTTATAAAACATGAAAGAGTATGTAATGAAACGCTTCCTTCCCGTCTCTGCTCTCCACAGTCAGTCAGTTCCTTCCCCGGAGGCAACGTATGTTACAATCTCCATGGAATTCTATTCACAGATATTTTATGAATATCAACACATACACATACAAAGAGGCCGTATTTATTGTCTATTTGTACAGTATATAAAAAGTTGATCTGGAAATCCTGTAACTGTCAGCTTTAATCACTGGGTTAATATGACTCAAGCTGTTAACAACAATGGTCAGCAACACATGGTGGGGACCATAAAGGAGACAGAGGGAGGGTTGATAAGTAAGGAAAAGAGGGTGTGTTTACAAACGAAGAGCAAATCTTTAATTCCATCATATTAATGCAGTCCTAAGACATTGTTTTCAGTCAATATGGAAATATTAACCATTTATGTATTATTGATGACTATTGAAAGCAACACCAGCTCATGTTAATTTTTTTATTCTTTTCAGGGCTATATAGTGACTTAGGTACATAGTTCTTGATCCTGTAGAAAAGAAGGCAATGAAAACTGTTCCCACAATGCAGACTATTCAACCAAAGTAGCCCGATATCTATTTTGAAGGTAAGTATTTTTAGTCATGTTGCAAGTGAGCATGAACCATTTTTCGAAGAGTTATTTGAAGAGAAATCCTGTAAAGATCTACACCAAAAGGTGAACAGCAGTGATCTTTGCGGGGAGGAATTAGAGGCAATTTAAAATGTATTCCTTATAACTTTTTGGTCTTGACTTTTAAATTCTACTACAATGAAAGTGCATTACTTTATAATGATTAAAACATTGAAGCTATTCCCATTTTGAAGAAAAATATAATAGTCATAAGTTTTAAAGCCAATTATACTGTGCTAACCCCAAAGAAATGAACTGTTTTTCTGTAACTATGGGAGGTTTGGCTTTTCATGATCAGGCCCTCAGATGAAGTGACTCTTAAGAATTCCAGTGAAATCAGCGGGTTGTGGTAGGGAATCCCTACGGACCATAATTTACAGCTCAGTTTGCAGTTAACCAGTGATTAATATTCCAGGTCCCAAGGTTGCAAGTTTCTATTATGCACTGCTCCGTCCACCTCTGTTTGGTTATACTATGACTGTAAATATGAGAGGCTGGGAAGATGGACCGGTGTTTTCCTGAAGGTTTTGTCCATTTTGGAGGCAGTTTATATTCTCCTATAGTAAGATTAGTCAACATTCTTAAGGAAGTTTTATTTAAGGAAACACTTAAGCATAAATATTACATCCAGCCCTGAAAAAATATTATTCCAGTGTTCTCAAGCCAAAATAAGGTTAATTTTGTTTATGTAATGTTGTCCTAAGTTCTGGCTTTTGCAATTGCCTGGTGATCTGCATGCTAATTACATGAAAAATAGAAAAAGGTCCATCCCAATGCAAAAGGTTATAAGTTCTTTAAAAATTAATATTTTGTGTGAATTCAGGGTTGCATTTAATGTTGCATTATAAATGCTGGATAATGCTAGTTTAGATGCTGATAGCAATCTTGAACATGATTCATGAAATGGATATACACAAGTACATATTTCCGGTGTTATTTGCTGAAGCATGTAGCTTCTACTTCAGAGTAGTGTCAATATTTTGCCAGATCACAATGGGAAGGTTGATAATATATTTCTATTTTTTTTATTGAAGTATAGTTGATTTACATGTTGTGTTAATTTCTGGTGTACAGCCTAGTGATTCATTTATACATATATGTATATATTATATATATTCTTTTCATATTCTTTTTCATTATAGACCATTACAAGGTATTGAATATAGTTCCTTGTGCTATACAGTAGGATCTTGTTGTTTATCTATTTTATATATAGTAGTTAGTATCTACAAATCCCAAACTCCCAATTTATCCCTCCACATCCACTTCCCCCTCTGGTAACCATAAGTTTGTTTTCTATGTCTGTGAGTCTGTCTCTGTTTTGTAAATTAGTTCATTTGTGTCCTTTTTTTTTAAGAGTCCATATATAGGTAATATACGGTATTTTTCCTTCTCTTTCTAGCTGACTTCACTTAGTATGACAATCTCCAGGTCCATCCAGAGTTCTATTTTTAAATCAATAAGGTGCTCTCTGAGAAAGGAAGATGGGATGATGGGGTCTCCCCCAGCTTCTGAGGGTCAGCCTAACGCCTCCTGCGGTGCCAGTGCTCCCACGATGCTATGTAAGATTGACTCCTACACATTCATGCCATGGCTTGGCCCAACAACAATTAATTCAGTTGATTTCCTTTGAAAACTTTTTCAGGAACTAATCAAAGATAGTAAGTTTCCCAATTCTTTCATTAAGCCAGTATCACCCTGATAGTGAATGCTAAAAGCTGACAAACCTACGGAGAAAGAATCATTTCAATTTTGATTTGTCAAAACATAGATGTAAAAAATCCTCCCAAAATGTTATGGTAAATTGAATTGAGGAGCATTTAAAAAAAAAACCCAGCAGTATTATGTGCTATATCACTAGCACATAACAATTTATTTCAGGAATGTTAAGCTTCAATATTATGAAACATTTTGTCACAGGAGATTACCAAAGAATCATTGGTAGCTATATGATTGTTTGCTCTGAATACTCAAAGGAATCTACTATCAAATAATGAGATATTATAAAGTTAATATTTTAGAAACTTGTATAGCTTTTCTATATTCTCTCAATAATTAATAAGAAATACATTAGAGAAAAGATTCCGTTACAGTACTAACACAACTTTATCAAATTCAATGATGACGTAAAGGACACAGGTGAAAACTACATGAAAAGCTTAATGAGACATAAAAGAAAACATGAATAAATGGAGCGACATAGTAAGTCAAATCCTCCCGAGTTAATTAAAGTGCGATTCCAATTTTAATCACAGCAGGATTTGGCGGGGGTGGTGGGGGGCATGGCAGAGAAATTCTAAAGTACATCTTAAAGAGTAAATGTAGGAAAACAGCCAAGGTCATTTGGGAAAGAAAAAAGGCAATGATGAGAGGAGACTTTCAATACCAGATATTCATTCATCAATATGACTTGAGTCTACCACCAATATATCATAGACTCGATTTGTTGGCTGTATAAGCCAAGTATAATCAAAATTCAATAGTGAGATAGAAAAAACAGGAATGTTCATACTGTAGATTAAAATGTATTTCATAAGCTGCTGCTGTTCCCTAAAAATATTTACGGAGAAATAAGGTAGTTCTAGATAGAGCCCAATGGCATATAAATCCGGTGACCCTAAGTGTTGACCACCTAATGGTTTTAATTTCATGGGTTAAAATCAAGAGTGTGTCTTTAAAATGCTGCTGAGTCTCCAGTGGAGAAGAGGGTAGAAACTGAGAGCCTGTATGTAGTGTAAAAACAAAAGTGTTTTTTTTTGTTTTTATTGTATACACTTATTTTAGAATTTCTAGAGTTAGCAAGAATTCATGTAAACTGTTACAATAGCAAAGTAGTAGAAGAGAAACAGAATGATGCTCTATCTTATAAAATTAAAATTCTTGATTGATTTTCCCGTATAATATCCACCTTTCAATCGTCAGAGTTCTCTGTGTGAGGAAACACATGGAGTAATTCAGATATGGTCCCCACCCTCAAGGGGACTATATAAAGACACATGTCTAAGATACTTGAAGTAAGAACAAGAATGAAATGACTTCAAAGACATTGTCTGAGGCGAGATCCCCAAGGTCAGGCACCATGTTGTTTCCATGTAATGAATAGGTCTTTAGTACACCGAGCAGACAGTGCTAATTTATGGTGGCCATGATAATCTGTTCACACCGCTATTATTTCTTTGAACTTATTTGTAAAATTGTCTGGCATTGCTGTCAAACTGCTATCTCTTGAGTTTCAAAATATTACCTTATTTTACCTACCCTTATGGGCTCGAAAGTGGAGAAAAAGCAGTTAACTACATTTTTAAGTCTTGAAAATGTTATACATGTGAAGGATGTTTGATACCTGCATGGTAAAGCGCGAACTGCTTCTTTCCTTTGATCTTCTGTGTGGAAATGTGCCCATTTGAGGCCTTCCCAAAATCAGAGGTCATTTGGGGTTTCTAAAATCCGACTAGAGTAGCAACAGGGATGTGGCTTTTAAAGAGAACTGTTAGCAATACAAATGTTAGGTTTGCCTCTGGGGCATGATAGTAGTAAACAACAAAAGTGAGCTATTAAAAAACAATGGTGAAAGATTTAGGCCTTGAACCAGAGACAAAGGACTCGAGGTGTCTGTGTACAGTCGTTACTTCAATCAGAAGCAAATACTAATGGCTTTACGCTTCCAAATGCTTCTCCAAATCTGGGAGTATAAGACTTGACAACTGAGAAAGA